CACACACACACACACACACACACACACACACACACACACACCTGCCCCTCTCTATGAAGACTCTCCACAGTGATGACCAAGATGGCAGTCCCCTGCTCCAGGCTTCTATCCTACACCTGAATAGAGGCTGCATGAAGAGAGTGCTTCTTGTCCACAGTTCTAACCAAAGTTCCTGGCTAATTCTGCTTGACCAGGGCTAATTCTCATGCCCTCTCAGGGATCTGGAGAGGAGTCAGCTCCTCCTGCGGGCTCATAGAGCTAGAACTGGGGAAACCAGGATTCTCCTAAAGAAAATAATATCCCTTTTCCAGAAGAATGGAAATGGATCCCAAACAAGAAACAACGTCCACTGAAGCAGAGCTTTTTGAACTTTAATGAGTGCGCAGATCTCTTGGGGCTCTTGTTAAAGTGCAGATTCTGGTTCAGCAGGTCTGGGATGGGTCAGAGAGTCAGCATCTCGGACAAGATCTCAGGGATGTTGATGTTGCCCCACACAGAACCACACTCTGGGTGGTGAGCACCCTGCAGCTGACACCTCGCCCTGAACAGACTTCATGTTTGTGTGACAAGTGAGGTGGAACTAATGTGCTGACGAGACCTGGTGCCACCTTAGTCCTTCTGCATCCCTGGGCTGAGTCACACCTCTTAGATTGCTCCTTGCCATAACTGCCAAGGCAGGCAGGGCCACCCTCCCTTCTCATTCCTATTGTGCAGATGAAAAACAGAGACTTAAATAAACACTGTGACTTTCCCAAGTCACATCTACTATAAAGGGATTGAGCTTAGTACCAGTCACCTTGGGGCTCTGGAGAACAGTACAATTCTCCCGAGCCCATCCCGTCCACTTATAGGGATAGTGCCTCCACCAGATCCCCTCCCACTCTCCAGAGAGTCTTGAAGGGCTGTGAGTCAGAAAGAAAGAGAGAGGGACCACAGTGTCACGGTCATACTTCCCCAGAATTAGAAATTCCCAGGCTGCCAAGCAGAGAGCTATATCAGCTGGTGACTTTTTTTTTTTTATAGCCTCCACAGCCCCAGGTGACCTGATAGCTGTGCAGTTTGTAAATCAAAGTTTCAGGGGGCAAAGGTCTTCTAAGCATCCCCGTCCCCCCCCACACACACACACACCTCTTGGATTGTTTTTAACCTTCTGGCCTTTATCAGTTTTCTCCTTCCTGCTCTCCAGGTGGATATCGTTAACAGAGACCATCACCTAGGGTGGGGCTGATCACACCTGGGATCTAAGAAAATAAATGTGGTGCCCCTTACCCTTTGCACCTCTTCCAGGGCTGGGCCAGGTATTTGCAGGTGATTTTCAGAAGGACTTTTTGGTGATCTCCAGGCTGGCACAAGTGATCCAAATATAGAAGAGGCTCCTGGAAAGGGAGGCAGTTCCTCATCTGTTTTGAGTTGAAAAATGCGCCCCCATAAATTATATTGAAGTCCTAACCCCAGCATCTCAGAATGAGTGTGATCTTATTTGGAAGTAGGGTCTTTCCAGGTGTGATTAGTTAAGGTGAGTAGAGCTGGGTCCCTAATCCCATGACTGTTATCCTTATAAAGAAATGTGGGCAGACGCGTGCACGTACACACACACACACACACACACACACACACACACACACACACACACAC